TCGTTAACTATCAGTAAAGTACCGGTTCTTCTTCAAAGTGATCTTCAATTTTCTTATAAATCAAAGTGCTGCAATAGTACGATTACAGCAAGACCATAACTAGGGATCCGCACGGTTCGGTTCGGTTCGGTTCTTAAAGGGAACCGAACCGAACCGTCTAAAGCAAGAACCGAACCGACTAGAACCGACGAGAACCGTAGAACTGAAGAATCGAACCGAAGAACCGAACCCATTACGTATATAAAAAAGGCAAGATTCGGTATCTTTAAATGAAAGCTGATGTGTGTGTTCAAATGTCGCGGTATACTTGAATACTGCAGTAAAAAAGAATAGTTTATTATTATACATTGAACAGCGATCTCAAAATGAATAAGAGAAACAGAGTGTAAACATTCTCATACGATGTGGGTCATTGCATGGTTAAAAGATTGAAGCACAGTTTTTACAAAAAAAAGTGGAGCTTATAGTACTTACTTGTGGCGACTTAGTATTACTAGTACAATATGTTATCGTAACATTGGAGGAATTGAACCACAACCGGCAGTACATACAGCTGCTGTGTCTCTACGTGTGAGTAGTGTATAGTGTCTCATAAAAGGCAAAGGGTGAATGGGTAAGATAATTCTGTTATGAGCCCCAGAATGCGCAATCTCAAACGGAATGCACAAACTTGATAAAACTGAGTAAAGTAGTACGTCATGGAGAAAAATGCATTGTGGGTAGCAAAGTAGAGGAACAAGTAATGATGTGCGTCATGGGCGGAGAAAGCAAGCTGCCGTCAGAAGAAGTGTTTTTTTATTTTTTTCTCTTCTCTTCTTTACTATTTTTTACTCCCTTCTGCTTTTGCAGGTTTTGTTAAGTTTTTCAATAAAGTATGGCTTGCAAATACACTACTTCGTGGTCTTTTCGGAATAACATTGTTCGTAACTTCCATTATAGCCTACTTTATACTAATTACCAAAATCGCCGATTGCAATCTTCTGCCTCTCGGTTCTTCGGTTCTACTTATACAGAACCGGTTCGGTTCCGGTTCGGTTCTTGACAGGAACCGAACCGTATTTTCTCAGTTTCGGTTCGGTTCGGTTCCGGCTCTACGGTTCTGATACGGATCCCTAACCATAACTATTGTATTATGGGTGTTTACATAATATATCATGTTTTCATGGTCTGATTGATAATTAGTACACTTCTTTGACACTATTTTCTTTTTGCTTACATTATTCGATTACACATCTTGTAGCAATATTTCTGTTTGCGAGCTGGTTGTTTGACGTTTTTAAAGTAAGAGAGAAGGGAAGAGGTCTATTTTTTGTGGTCAATTAAGTAGGAATGGTTGGTGAAGTTGTGGCGGGTACAAAAGAGATTATGGGAGCGATGGACAGAAGGGTACACAACTTGGGCAGCTGGTCTAAAAGAGACATGGTAGAAATGAAAATTGCTCAACTGCATACTGATAGGTTTACCTGTAGGAGCGGAAAGGAAAGGTATGTATAGAGTTGAGAATTCAACAGAATACCAAGCAATGGCTTTTGAGAACGCATTGGCAGCTAGAATTGCACAAGAATGATTGAAATATGAAGCAGTATTGCAAGGAGAGGAGCGATCGGATAGCTTATGCTCCACTGAAGCCAGTTCATCTTCTCTAAAGAGATGTAAAAAAATAGCGCGATTCTGCTGCAAAAACACAAACATATCGTCTTTGATGGATGGCCACATATCCTCATCGTTTTTCAAGGCCAAAGCCAAGACACGAAAACCACAATTACCATCAGGCTGAGGACTAACAATAGTGGCGACTTGCTGCTTGGGTACATCGGTGCTTAAGACACCAGCCAATGGCACCGCCAGATCCTTGCCCTTTCCTTCCCTATTTTAACGGCCCACCACAATCAGCTTATATTATACACTGGAATGATTGGTACATACCATGTGGCTGCTGCGTCAGCTCCGAAGCCCGTCTTGGCCTTTTTCTTGCTTTGCTCATCTTGGATTTCGAGTGTAATTGGCAAGCGTTTGTTGTTATTACTGCTGTTGCTGCTGCTGCTGCTGCTGGCGTTATTTGCAGTAGTGCGAGCTGTTGTTTTTTTTGTTGGCACAGGTGGAGATTGCAGTTCATGCATATCAATGAACGAATCATTACTGATTGCCTTCAATTTATGCAAAAGATCTGCTAGTTACTGCTGGTTTTGGAGATTGAATCCTAGGTTTTCAATCCGGACAAGCTCAGCGGCGACTTGCTATTCGATCGTTGGCTTCTCGTGGTCGTCCACAACTGCTATAACGTTAGGTGCAGAGAGCACATCGACAATTCGTCTATTGCAAAAAAGAAGAAAAGAAAACTGGCTCATAAATTGTCGGTGAACATACTCATCATTGTTTTAAACTCTGCAATAGCCATACCATTGAGATTCGATGCTGTTTTTTCTGGGAACAAGTGCCAACGCTGAGGGATAATCGACAATGGAATGGGCCCGTCAGCTGGATACATATGACAGCATGGTATTCCGTAATGGATCTTTAAGGCACACTTGCAATGCATCGTCTTCAGCACGTTCGAGAATCTCAACTGGTCTTTGATGGCTTCAAAAGCAAAGCGAGATATATTACGACTGAGGAGCTCAAGTCGCGTTTTATATGCCTCAGGAAGATGAGAATTAGCACTCAATGCTTCCTTATCAACCTGCTGATTCCAGTTGGTGTTCTACAAAAGCGTCTATCATCAATTACACAGTATTGCTTATCGCAAACCCCAAACGTGCCGATACTTAAATATAAGTATGCAACAACATGAATTGATGCGAACATTTCTCAGCAAAACGTATGTATATATACCTTGTCTTTATACTACATATTCAGATGTGTGAAAGAAAGATGAAGGCTGCTGGATGGATCGATGTATTTTTGATTTCGGCGTGAGCACCTTCAGCCCGGTTGGTACTGGTATTTCCAAGGTGTCGCAGTTGGCCGGTCTCACTACCAACCCATTTTTCCCTAAAGGCAAGTTTACTATAGAAAGAGTATATGAGCTAGATCAATCATAAAGCCCCATAAGGATTTGGACAACATTCAAAGGTACACTAATCATCTACCTTTTCCAGTAGCTTCGTGCCTTTTCAGGATCTGAACAACACAGTATTGCATTTTCAAACATAGTAAGCGCCTTTTGCTCTAGTTTTGCATCGGACACCTTCTCCATCATATCATCGAACTTGTCCTTGTAAGAGCTAGACATCAAAAGGTTGAGCGCCTTTTCTACCTGGTCCCATTGTTCTTGAGTGTCAAAAAGCTTTCGAAGGTTCGTCTTGAAGTTTCTATGCAAATGGATTTTACACAGTATCTTCGTAGACTCAGGGAAAGTGGAATCAAGCGCAGTCATTAATGCTGCTTCACTGTCTGTGACGAACACTTTTGGATAAACCGCTGTCGAAGACGAGTAAACAACTGACTTTAGCTGTTGAGCAAACCACATATACGACCCTGTTGTCTCATTCGAGACCCATCCTCCAGCTACACAAAAGCTTCTTAACGCCTTCACGCCAACATTTCCGGTACCAATCACATTTATAAATGGCATTTTGTTGCGATTGGTCTGGTAGGTGGCATCCATGGAGATCACCTCCGGGAATTGGTTTGCAACCTTTATAGCATCGCCATGGGCAAAGAACAATGCATTGAGGAAAATCTTTTCCCCTTCTTGTCTCGAGTCAAAACGGACGTGGTAATCGTTCTCTTGCAGAAGGTTGATCAGGTTGAACATTGCACCGTCAGGGTCGTTGTTGAACACTGTTTGACGAATGTTCGAAATATCCTTTGCGGTGGTACCAGAATGGCCTTTGCTGCGTAGGAAGTTCGTGATGACCCTGTTGGTGGCATAGTTGAGGATTAAGGTACGCACTGTCTGGAGAACGTCTCCTTTCAAACGGCGGTGCAGTGGGTAGGCACTAGGTTCCAAAGCCATATGGTGATTGTGTCCGCCATCATAGATACTCACTACATGCCATTGCTGGCTCTTACTGTCTAATGGTCGTAGCATCAGATTGAAAGGGCAACCAATCCGTTGAGAATCCTTGCTACGTCCTTTCTTCTTTTTCTCGGTGCTGCTCAGAATGCCACCTTCCTCGTCAATAACAATTGTTGTTTGTTGCTGCTGCGATTGTTGCTCTTTCGGTGTCTGGTCACGGGGCTGACCAAAGTGCTTACAGCCAAGTTGGCACCTTCGCTTGGGGCCTGTTTTATCAGCTCTGATTACTGAAAGCTGAAACTTGTTTTTCAACGCCCAAGATTGCAAGGATGTAATTGCAATGTCGTACGATTCGTACGTTTGGTTGATTTCCTCAGGGATGTTTGGTGATCTCGTCTGTAATGTTGACATGCTTGCTGAATGGAAAAGGAAGGATGCGTTTTCTTTTCCTTGTCACACAAAATTATAAAAAGGATCACATCTTTAATTCTCAACTCAAGCCTCTCTGATTCTTTCGGTAGCAACATCCTGGTTAGTGTGTCATAGTCTTTAGCAAACGTTCTCATCAACGATAGTGCTCAATACTGCGATGACTGTAGGCTACTACTGATGATTTACATTATTTTGACAGATAGTGTATTTAGTCGCATTTTTTTTTCTCACTAGTGTTCCTTTTTTTAAAAAAAATAGACATTTATGCAGCAAACTCGTAATGTTTGTATGATCACTATGTTTCTTATAGTTATGGATACAATTGAAAAACGTGGTGGTACTGCTACACATATTTATGCAATAAACAAATAATACGCCATAGTCTCGTTTCACATTCATCTCTCACCACCCTTCATCGTTTCTCACCACCCGCCATGCCATTTCACCTCCGAAAAGCTAGTCACTACCCGAGGGGTGGTGCAGGTGGGTGTAACAGATACAAGTCACTACCCCCTATTCCCATATATATGAATATCTCTTACTCAATATAATAAAGAGTTGTTATCACCGGACTCTTACATTTGGTGGAGAAGCATAACTTTTAACAATGGATCAAAATAATCCTCAATCTTCAGACCCAAACAATCAACAGCCTGACAACGTACCTCACGGCAATCCGTGGGCACTAGAGCAGCAGATCCCGGCAGCATTCCCACAGTATCATCAGCAACAGACAGCACCTAGAACAATAGAACAGCAAGGTGACCAGCAGTTCGGTGACGAACAACTCCGTTCGATTCAACAACAACAGATGCCAACAACACTCCATCCGGAAATCGAACGTATGCGAGCACTTATCATACAAGAACAACAGCAAACATCAGCAAGACAACAGCAAGAAATGCTAGAATAGCAGCGGCAGCGAGAGGCGGAACTGCAAGAGCAAATCAACAGCCTCAATAGACAGCACCAAGACGAACTGCAACAACTAACCCGTAATATGCATCAAATGTATGGGCAATTACGCCCACAACAAACACCAGACATGGCATCGACAATATCTCAACAGTTCACGGCATTCCTCCAAAGTCAAGAAGATCGTGAGCACCGTCGAGAACGATCACACCACGAGCTCTTAGAACAACTTCAGGAACAGCAGCAGTTAGGGAGATGGGAGTCATCATCTCAAAGAGAATCAAGTGCAGCACGCGATGATGCACCCCTAATCGCTGCAATGAACAGTTTGACTTTGGCCATGCAGCAACATCAACAGCATCAAAGGCAACGAGCCACAACACCAACCCAACATTCATCAATGGAAAGTGTGTCAGTAGCATCGCAGCAACAACAACCGAGAAGAACAGTCAAGACCATTAGATCCGATTCATCTGGTGAAAGAAACGAAGAATGGGCAACGGGAAGTGAGCAAGGAGATTCAGGAGATGATGAGCCCCCTGAAGGAAACCTTGCATGGGTAGTCAGACAGAACGAAACGACAGTAAAAAGAAAAAAGACACGGTATTTGGATTTACAACCGTATCGTGGGCTACCAACAGAAAATCCACACACATGGATATCATCATTTGAAAAAGCAGTTCAGTATTACGACTGGTCTGACGACGAAAGCTGCAAAGAATTCATGATCTCAATGAGAGACAACGCTGTTGATTGGTGGGATGGATTAAGCGACGATGCCAGAAACGATATCAACCAGATCAAAAAAGCATTCACAGAATATTTTGGCGGTGGCCAAGAGGCAGCAGTAGTAGCATTGTCAGATCTACCCAAGATGAAACAAGGACCTGAAGTATGGTTTCATTCGGAGCCAGACTCAAGTTGGCATTGGGACGCATTGATCCTCGCATGGACGAGAATTTGAAGCTCTACTTTTTCTCTATTCATGCAAGAGAAGATGTAGCACGCGAAGTCTCACGTTATAAACCGGAAACCCTCGACAAAGCGATCAGATATGCGATATATTTGGAACGCACCGATGAAACAGTAAAAGCCCAAAAAGGTCATCGACAAAACAACAGCAGAGCACCATTGTTAACAACACCAACATTGCAGCAACCAACGACAACTTCAACTTTAACAAACGACGGCCCGACAGCAATGGAAATCGATTCGAACAGTCAACGACGACAGTACCATAATCACAGCAACAAGAAACCATTCAACAAGAAAAAACAGTTCAATAAGAAAAAATTCAATGGTACCTGCAACAACTGCAACAAATATGGCCACAAAGCGAGAGACTGTTGGTCAAGAAAAAGCAACAGTCAGCAAACAGCAAACCAGGAGTCAGCAACCTTAGTACAGCAAAAAGGCGACAGCAACAACAGCATGGACGACGATTCTTTTGGCACACCATTATTCGATTACCTGCAACAAAACTCCCAACAAAAAATCAATGGTATTCCTGTGAAACAATCAGTGCAAACAGACGACGAGAATCGGTCATCCTTACGCTTCACAGTAAACATCAATATTGGCGCCGCAGAAATTCAAGCCTTGGTGGATACCGGTTCAGAAGTGACAACAATTGACGAAGCAACAGTACAACAAGCTCAACTATCGACAATAACGGCATCACTATTATATATTCAATATGGCAACAAATCCCGATCTTTATCCGACAAACAAACGATCTCAACATTGGAAATGAACGGACAGCAATACCCAATTGCATTACGCATTGTGCCAAAACAAAATACAAAGGTGATATTGGGTATGGATTGGCTGGTGGGGTTGAACATTTTGCTGGATCCGAATAACCGCACAATCATTCCAAAGAAAGACGTGGCTTTCATTAGTAACAGCAATGCAGCAACAACAATCTCGGCAACCGTCCCAAAACCAGTGCGAGAATTTTTGCAACAACATCCAGCACTATACAATGATACAGAAAAGCAAACGATCACATCAGTGCCAATATATCACCACATCAATACTGGTGATGCAGCACCTGTATACACCCCAAATTTTCGACGGTCCCCAGCAGAAAAGGCAGCACTAGCAGCAGAAGTACAGAAGATGCATGAGCGTGGTGTTATTGTCGAATGTACCAGCCCGTGGGTTTCACAACCAGTACTGGTACCAAAACCGGACGGCAGCCTACGATTTTGCGTGAACTACAAAAAACTCAATGCTGTCACTGAGAAAGACAAATTTCCTCTTGAACCAATCGACTCTCTCCTCGACAAACTCGCCGGAAAAAAGCTATTCAGCCTGATTGATTTGAAATCCGGATACTGGCAGATACCCATGGATCCAAAGGACTCATACAAGACATGCTTCTCTGATGGGCAGAAGCTATGGAGGTTCCTCGTTTTACCCTTTGGAGTGACCAATGGTGTAGCGAGTTTTTCTCGTTTTATGTCTCATTTGCTTGGCCATTTATCCTTTTGCCATTTGTACATCGATGATGTCCTCATTGCATCAGAGACAGAGCAACAACATTGGGAACATGTACTAACGGTTCTGGATATCATGACAAAGGCATCACTCAAGATTGGTCTTACGAAATGCTCGTGGGCAAAATCAGCGGTCAAATTCCTCGGGTTCATTGTATCGGCAGAAGGCATCAAGTCAGATCCAGCCAAGGTGGAAGCAATCAAGAACTGGAGCCAGCCAAAGAATACTAAGGAATTGGAGCGACTACTAGGAACATGTGTCTTCTACCATCGCTTTTTTGCAAATCTAGCACATGTCGCAGCACCGTTATACCGATTACTACGCAAGAACGTGGAATGGCAATGGGGTACTGAGCAAGAAGAAGCATTCACAACGCTCAAGAAACGACTGATGGAACTTCCCACCCTTGCCTACCCGGATCCAAGCCTGCCGTACGAGATGCACACAGATGCAAGTGATTTTGCCTTGGGATCCGTCCTCATTCAAGGATATCGACCAGTGGTATACGCTAGCAAGACACTGTCAGCAGCCGAGAAACACTATAGTGCTGTAGAAAAAGAGGTGATGTGTATAGTATGGAGCTTGCTACACTTCCATTGCTATGTACATGGTTGTTCCTCTTTAACGATTTACAGCGATGCATACGCAGCGAAAGCAATCCTAGGCAGCAAGAATCCTAAAGGCAGGATTGCACGCTGGGTGATGGCTGTTCAAAGCTATACCTTTGTAATTATTCATCGAAAAGGAGTGGACAACGTCGACGCAGACGCATTGAGCAGATCGTGCAACGAACAACAAAACAACAACGACGGAAATGCATCAGCAATAACATACGACGAATTATTGCATCATCAACGCGACGACGACGAAATCCACAAATATATAAAAAACAACGATGAACGTTTTTTCTGGCACCACGGCTTATATTGCATCAACAAAGCGAGCCCAGTCGCAGTCATGCCGAAAACCTTGCGACAACGTTTTTTCAATTCAATTCATACACACCAAACAGCAGCTCACATGGGGTGAGACAAGACCTTGGACAAAGCATATCAACTAGCATGGTGGCAATCAAGGAAAAACGACATCAGCAACGCCATCAAAGCTTGTCCAGCCTGCCAACAGCATAAGACACCAACACACAAGTACGGAAAAATGACGAGCATACAGGTCGGTGAACCTTGTGAAGTCTGGGCTGCAGATATTGCAGTATTGCCGACAACAAGCAGCAACAATCGATACTTGCTTGTCTTTGTAGAATACATGACAAAGTGGGTCGTCACTGCGGCACTTCCCAGCTTCGATTCCAACACAATAGCACAAGTACTACTCTTCCAAGTAATACTAAAATTCGGAATGATGAAAAAGTGGATCACGGATAACGGCAGTAATTTCATCTCGGATGCGATGCAAGCTGTCTGTAAACGATTGGGAATATCCAGGTCAACAACAAGTGTGGAAAGACCACAAGGTGACGGACTATGCGAACGTCAAAATCGAACTATAAAAGGAGCCTTGGCTATATATGCAGAACACAACCCGGCAACATGGGACGAATACTTACCATTTGTCACATTTGGAGTGAACACAAGCAAACAAGCATCAACCGGCAAATCCGCTTTTGAAATCATGTTCGGCCGTACAGCAATACTTCCATCCGTAGCTGATTTACACTTACCAGCAATGAAAACACACACAACCGAAACTTGGATCGCATATCTCAATCATTATCTTCCAATCCTACACAAGAAAGTACACAACAATATCCAAAAAGCCCAAGAACGGCAGAAACGTTACTATGATCGCGGCAGACAAGAAAGACCGAAATTTAACACTGGTGATCAAGTAATGCGACTAAAGGCAAAGGAAACTTGGAAATTTCCCAATCCAAAGTTTTCGGGGCCTTGGACAATCACGAAAGTGAACAATGACGCCGGAACCAGCTTTACAATCAAAAGTCAAATCAAAGGCAGAACAAAAACCACCAAAGCAAATCAAGATCAGCTTTATCAATACCATCAAAACATGAATTTCACTTAGTTTAGCTTTTTCTTTTCTTCTTTATACTTATAATATTTCGTTTTATCATAGCAGTATCTTTTTTTTGCAGAGGGGGAGCTGTGTAACAGATACAAGTTACTACCCCCTATTCCCATATATATGAATATCTCTTACTCAATATAATAAAGAGTTGTTATCACCGGACTCTTACAGTGGGGTGCAAATAGCTGTTCCCCCTCAAATAGATATAACATTTTACATTGTATAAAAAAGAAACAGAAATAATTTAAGAAAAAAAAGAATAGTAGAATAAAAAAATTTATAATGGAACGGAGGAAATATTAATTTAGGAAAGATAATTACTAACCTCACTACATTAAATTATTAAATAAAACAAAAAACAACAAAAAATAAAAAATAATATTATTATTTTTTATATGCCGAGAGTATGCCATTTTTTCTTCTTGTTAAGAAGGTGATACAAATCCATTGTTT